TCATGATAGACTAACAATTTAAATATATGCTCTAGAAAGACAATCCAATGTCTTTCATGGAAGGTGGGTAGTTCTCTAGACTTGTGTAAGTGTTTTCATAAGTCTATCTCATTTAGTAAGTGTAACCTCATAATTTTTTAGATTCAATGAATTTATCAAGTTCATCTAAAAAGGACCACTCAAAGAATTTGATAGGAACTTATTAAAAATATTTAGTAGTTCAACCAATTAATTCAGTGAATTCATCAGTCTGTCTCAAAAAGGATCAATCAAATCGTGGGCTATGAACTCATTAAGAGCATAAAAACTCATATTTTTATGTCAGTTCTCATTAGGACCATCTAAATCCTAGTATATGAATCTATTAAGAACAAAACCCCAACCTTATGTGTATGCATTATTCACTGTACAAATAGGTAAAAATGTACATCATGAGTCTTCCCATAACTTCTTTTAACCACATTAAAGACTAAATTAAATGGTCAATCATGAATTCATCAATTAATGGGCTTAAGATTCATTTCCCTTGAAGAATCATGAACCTCCTAGTATATGAATCTATTAAGAACAAAACCCCAACCTTATGTGTATGCATTATTCACTGTACAAATAGGTAAAAATGTACATCATGAGTCTTCCCATAACTTCTTTTAACCACATTAAAGACTAAATTAAATGGTCAATCATGAATTCATCAATTTAATGGGCTTAAGATTCATTTCCCTTGAAGAATCATGGTTTTGTGGGATGGGACACTAGATCTCTTAAGTAAGGTCAAGAGTTCGAACTTTGGCGTTTGCGAATGGAGCAAACTAGATTGGGAGCGTCACCCTCACTTCTGCAGTACTTGATCTGAATTATTCGATCAATAGATCGGATACAAGTAATAAATTCAAAAAATAAAAAAATCAATGTAATTCTCTTCGATTATTTTGTACTCGGTGTGAGTATTATCTCTTTATATTACAGATTCATGCTTTCTCTTATCATTATTTGTATGGTTTTAAAATATGCATATGACAGTGCACGAATCAAATTACCTTAATAGTTAAAAGAATTATTGTTATTCCTAACGGTCTAAGGCTCAAGCACTAGCAACTACAACATAAGTGATTGAGTGTTTATTGTCAAATAATTATGAATATTTAGCATAAATATTACTATGTGATCACCTTAGCTTAAAAAATATACATATGATTGTTTATGAGTCATATAAAGATACATAAGATTGATTTTTCTCTTAAGGATTTTCAAGAAGATGGATTACTTAGATTACTAAGTCACTTTGTCTTCTGCCTTGCTAAACTAAGAGTTATCAATTTAGACTTCGCATTTTGAATTTGATTCTATTGTAATATCTCGTAAAATAAAATAATTATGATTCTATAAATTTTGTAAAAATTGTATTTATAATTTGATTTTATTATTTTTGTGATATTTATAATATTAAGATGATTAATACAAAATTAAAGGTAAGTTTTTAAAACATAATTTATAAAATTTGTATTTATTAATACATCCTATTGTTTATATTGTAACTAGACCCGAACTAGATTACTCGAACCGATTTTCTTGACCCAATACCCGATATTAAACCGAACATGATAATCAAATTTGATCTGATAGCCGGCCTGAACAATACCCAATCCAAAATTTAGCGAAATCGAAATCAACCAGACCCTAAATTAACCCGGACCTAAAGCAACCTGAACAAAATTAACATGAATCGAAAGCAACTCAAACCGAATTTTAACTCGATCCAAAAGCAACCCAAACTGAATTTAACTCGACCTAAAAGCAACCCGAACAAATTGAAATTGATAAAAGTTATTAAACGATAAAAGTTATTTTCTATAATAAATTAATTTAAAAAATTGATATTTTATTAAAAATATTAGTTTTATAATAAAATAATAGAAAGTTTAAGAGAAATATAAAAGTAAGAATCTAATTATAAGATTGAAATCAGTGATAAATAAAGTTTACTTATCTTACTTGTTATAAAAATATTAGATTTATAATAAAAATAATATAAAACAACTAACAAAGGAAATAATATTAGATTTATAATAAAAATAATATAAAGTTTACTTATGTTACTACTAAAACTTAACAAAGAAAGTTATGTATTATTTTTTTTAAATTTAATAAAAATATTTAATTTATAGTTGGAAATAAAAAAATTTAATAAAAAATTATTTCTTTATCAAATAGTTCTCATTATAAACTTTTCATACAAGCTTAATATAAAATTTTGATAATAAATTCAAACACGTATTATAGAATCGTATTTGTGTTAAATTATCAATTTATCATCCCTAAATGAAAGTTTAATCCAAAATATTGAACGATTGAGAATTGAAATTAAACATAAATGATAAAATTAACAAATAAGAAGACATATTTTTACAAGTATATATACATTATTCTATATATACTTGATTTTGATTAGACTCATAACCAATTCAACCTGAATTGACTTGATCTAAAGGTTTACCTAAACCGAAAATCAGCTAATCCGATATTGGTCCGACCTAAAATCTAACTGACCCTGTATTAACCCGACCCAAAAATCAACCGATCTGATATTGATCCGAACTAGAAAACAACTGATCTAATAATATCCCGACCCGATAATCGACCCAATCTGATTCATCGTACACCGAACCAGATTCGAACAAAATTAAACCGAATTTAATCTAGACCTGAAGTTACCTGACCCGAAATGACTTGATCCAAACCCAATCCGAATGACCCGTTTGTCACCTCTAATTGTAACATCATTTTAATATTATAAGTTAAGTATATAGTTTATATTGTAACATCCTATTGTAATATCTCATAAAATAAAATAATTATGATTCTATAAATTTTGTAAAATTTCTATTTATAATTTGATTTTATTATTTTTATAATATTTATAATATTAAAATGACTAATACAAAATCAAAGGTAACTTTTTGGAAACATAATTTATAAAATAATATATATTTTTAATCATAATTTATTTATTTATTTATTAAAACATAAATAATATTTTTGAATTTAATCATAAAATTTTAACATAAAAGTTATTTAATTCTCAATCATAAACTTGGCTTAAAAAGTAGGAGTTGAAATTTTTAATATATTTTTTCTTTGAGCACTTGTTATCCACAGTCAAACGAAATATAAAATTGATATATATATATAAAGTCTAAATGATATTATTAGTTCAAAGATTCAAAATTTATAAAATAATATTATAATTTGTAAATATTAAAAAATTATAATTAATATTATAAACATAAAAATTTATAACATAAAAATATTTTGAATAAAGTAAGAGTTTGATTATGATATAGATTTAAATTCATAAATTTATTATTATGATTCAATATTAAAGGAAATATAAATGTTTTAAGTTAGTTTAGTTGAGTTCGAACCATTTTCTTGTGAAACAAACATGGAATTTATGTTCAGAAAGCACAAAGAGAGTGAATTAAAAATTTTAGGATATATGATAGTTGGCAACGTTAATGGTTGACGACAACCAGCGATAGCTAGCAGTGATAGTGATGTGTGGTAACCGATAACAATAGACTTTGGTCGAATATATGGGTCAAATTTGATATTTTATCTGAAGTTTAAGGTCAAAATAATATTTTATCCAAAGCTTAGAAGTCAAATTTAAAATTAATCCTTATCACGTTACCAAACTAACATGAGCTAACAACTCAATGACAACATGCTTGTACCCGACAGGCATAGCTACTCGAATTCAAGACCTCTAGAAAAAAATATCATCCCCTTTTACTACTAAAAAACACATGATGAGTTAAAGATTGGGGTAACTACGCATTTAGTTCATAAACCATCAGTTTTGATCCATTTTAGTATCAAAACTTTCGATTTTTTTAAATCATACCCAACGTTTAATTTTTGTTACATTTTAGTAAACAATAGGTAAAAACTTAAATTTATATGGGGTAAGTACAAAACAATATCTGTTCAAAGATAACTCTCAACAATTTGACATTGAACGCTCACACCTCTGGTATTCCTGGTGCACGAACCTGAGACTTCATGGAATAATAACAATTCATTTGTCACTAAGGTCGTTCGGTTCGTGCCATAAAGATTATTATCTAGTTAAATTAAATGCATATTTTTTAAATGCATCTATGGTATCTATAAGCTATACAATAAACGTGCTGCAATTAAAAACACATGGAAAGGTTCAATTGAAGCAATTGTACAAAAGGTAATTTCATTTGTAAACTTGAAAAGAAAAAAAATCAAAGTATGCATGCAAAATGAACGGTTACAAACATTTTTGACATGCACTAAATCTCCAGAATCTGTATTTTTTTTTACTAGAACAGAGATTAATAATATAGAAGATAGTTTTGTTTTATTGAAAAAGAAACCAGTAGAGCTTGGTGCATTAACAAAATGGGATAGTGGATAGACTAGCAAGTTGGGGTGATGAGAGTGGAGGAACCCACATTCTAACTCGTACAAATTTTCCCATCAACCAAACAGGTAAAAAGGAAAATAATGAAATCAGGTCATCTTTTATTTACCACAAATGAATGGCCAAAGAATAGAAGAGCAGGTGTTCACATGGCAGTCACCTTCAGTTACGTCACCCTCAACAAGCAGATAAATGTTCAAATAATGTAAGAGAGAGATGTCCAAACCCTGTTTCATCAATAGGGTTTTCAAGGGTCAGCAAAATCAAAACTAGAAGAAGAATCAAAGGCCATGGATTTTTTTTCCTCTTTTGATTTATTATTCTTATTCTTCTTATTATTATTCCTTAAGGGCCTCTCATTGAAGACAATGGGGTTGTCAGTTTCCAAAATACCCTTTATCATTATTATTCATCACCTATATTTCTTTTCCCATACAAGATGAAAATGGACGTTTAATGGAATCTCATAGTGTACATCAACCGTCCTTCTTTAGCACCAACTCTTTTTTTTCACTGAAAAAATAGATTTTTACTAAACTAAATAAATAAATAAAAAAAATCTTGTGTTGTGTGATTGTTAAAGGGTCAATTTTGTGTCTATAAATGCCTATCTGCTAAAGCAGAAAACTTGCTCCTTCTTCAAACTCTAAACTGTTGTTTCTTTGCATAAAACGATATTAATCAAAAGAAGTAGAAGAGAAGAGTTGGAATTTATAGTTCAATTCCTTCTCAGGTTTGAGTCCTTAAGTTGTTCAACATGATTCATCGAAGCTTGTTTGTAAAGATTTAATGGAAACTTTTGGGGTTTGCGTGTATACATATATTTTTTCCAGGTTTGTGAGCCATGGAGTTCCCTAATCTAGAACCAGAATGCTCTTCCCAGAAGAAGATCGGAAGGGGCAAAATCAAGATTAAGCGGATCGAGAACACCACTAATCGACAAGTAACCTTCTGTAAACGCCGCAATGGACTGCTCAAAAAGGCCTACGAATTGTCTGTGCTTTGTGATGCCGAGGTGGCTCTCTTCGTCTTCTCCAGCCGTGGCCGTCTCTATGAATATGCTAACAACAGGTTTCCCTTCAACCCCTTTCTTTCTTTTTTGTTTGTTGATCTTTTCGTTTCAATATAGTCCATTAAAGGTACCATTTTTATGACCTTTTTGTTCCAAAAACTGAGGAATTTATTCTCTAAACCTTTTGATTGATATAAAGTAGCAAATAAACTAGCGTTGTAATGATATGTAAAAGAGGGTTCTCTTTCCTTGATTCTCTCTCTCTCTCTCTCTCTCTATGTCATCACCTTGCAGAAAAAGTCTGTTGAAAACATCATCTGTGTCAAGCTCTCATTAGCCCACTCCTCCTTCTCTTTTGGATTCTGGGATTATAAAACTACTTTAAAAACCAAGACATTTTTTGTTTCACACTTCAATCACATGACAGTTTAAGGTAAATGTTCTAATGGATGTGTGACAAATGGGAAAAAAAACCAAGCCGTTCAAAATCAGATTTTAAATTAGAGTTTTCTTCCAAAAAGTACAAATCTAAAGTTGGCCTCTTTGTTTAAGGTAAAGGAGGGGGTCAAATCAAATTTGAAGAGTTTAGGGTTTTTAAAAACATAGATGGGTATCTGAATCAAATTTCTTTGACAAATTTAAAAGGAACCCATGTTTTGGTTTGGGTGCACAAGGCTAGGGTTTGCTTAAGCTTCAGTTGTGTTTCTAATAAGAATCTTTGGTCATGTCACACAAGTTTTCTTTTCTTCCTGCCTTCATTAAGTTTTGAATCTCAATCTTTGAAAAAGAAATATTCTTTAATCACTTTTCCAGTTTCTTGAACTCATATTTCTTTGCTTTCATTTCATCTCGGTTTTTTGTGTGTTGATTTATATAGGTTATCATATTCACAATTAATGATAAAAAAAACTTGGTTTTTTTTATAATATAAGTAGTGTAAGAAAGGAGAAAAATTCTGATTGCTAGATCTAGCATTAGAACAATGAAAAGATGGAAGTGATGGAGAGAAACAAAGGGTACGGACCAATAGGATTTTCTCTGCATGCTGCAACTGCTTAATTTTTCACTCTCTAGACATTGTGTAGTTTTAATACTTAAAACAAAATCATATTTTCACTATATTTTTTTAAACAATGACAATTATTTAAATATTGTCGTTTGTGAATGGAGTAAACTAAATTAGAAATATCGCAATGCTTCTACAGTTCTCGATGTGGATTAGATGTATCAATAAATTTAATACCAGTGATTAATTCAAAAAATAAGTCATATTTTATATAATTCAATACTAAAGTTACGGAAAGAATTAGGCCTGTAAATGAACTGAACGTTCAGCGAACCGTTCATGAACCGTGCGGCGGGAAGTTCGTTTATGTGCGTTTATTTATTAAATGAACGAACATGAACAAGACTTTGTATTTGTTTAATTAAATGAACGAACATTGTAACACCCCAATTTAGGGGTTAAATTTAAGAAATTATAAAGTGGTGAATTTAATTGGAATTTTGGAAGAAATTGAGGATTAAATTGAATAATTTTAAAGTTGACAGACCGTTTTAAGAAGTGAAGAAAGTTCAGTGGCTAAACCCATGATTTAACCATTTTTTATATATGTTGAATTATAAATCTCTCCCCCGGTCAGTTTCCAGAATGATTTTTCCAGTTTTTCCCTCTCCAACAACCTTTCTTTCAACTCCGATTTACTCACCGTCCGACGTCCAATCGACGAGCTGAAACCACCATCATGTTCATTGTCAACCAAGGAACAAAACCCCTCAAACCTTTCGTCGTGAATCATCGCTTTTCGTCGTTAATTTCGATCGGAAGTATCATCGGTAATAACTCGATTTTAGTTGGTTTTTCATCGATTCATGACGATCGGGTCATTCGTTTACGACACCTCCCGCAGCATCGTGTTCGTTGCATCGTTCTGAGTTCGCCGGTGTCATCCTTGGCTCCGTCGACGGCGGTGCGTGAGGAGGTGAAGCGGTCAAAGTCTCCAATTTGTTGAAATTGAGCTCTCCGTCGTTCAAAATTGTGAACCGAGCTTTGTAAGTATCTTGAAATCGCTCAAAATAATTTTTAATAATTTTTCCGTGATTTTTAGGTAGCCGAAAGGGGCCCCACGCGTCGCCACTGCGCGTGGGGATGGTCCAAATGGCCGGTTTGACCGGTTTTTGTGCATAGTTGACCGGTTTGACCGGTCATTACCCGACACGACCCGTTTACATGACCCGTTGACCCGACCCGTTGACCATTGACCGGCATTGACCACCGTTGACCGGGCATTAAACGACATTTGACTTCGACCGAGTATACCTATCTTGACATTTTTCGATGTTCCAAATCCGATTCCGCTGTCCGTTTTTCGAAATTCAAACCCGAATGACTCGAAATTTCTGGTCAAACCCGTTGACTTTGATTTTGACCAAAAATTTCAAATTTCTGAAAAGTCATATTTTATACTTTCGACGACTTGAATCCGAATCCGAAGTCCGTTTCCCCAAATTCAAACCTGATAAGCTGTCTTTCACTGATTTATCACCTGATTCGATCCGTTTATCGCAATTAAGCTTCGTTTCTGATTTAATTTATGTTGATATGTATCTGAGGAATTATTGGAAGTTGAATTGAAGATCAAAGGCGTTCGAATGGAAATTTTATGGTCGATCAGTATTGCACGGAAATCGAGGTAATACTTTACTACCTCTTTATGCTTTATGGAACATGTTGATATTGGTAAATGCATGAATAAGATAATGTTGGTCACTTTTGTGGAGTTGAATAATTTATTCACTCGATATGATTGTGGTAGAAATTCTGTAACTGAATACGGATCGAATGACTAATATAAGAGATTGAAAGATTGTTAGAATTAAATTACAAGTTTGTGATTAGTGATAAAGAAATCAGACATGGATTTGTAAATTATATTTTATATCATCAAAGGTTAAATGTTAAAGGTACTTGGATGGGAAATTATGAGAATACTTCGGTAGGGTAAAAATATGAAATTACCCTTATATTGGAAAATGATAAGAATTGTCCCTGGAAGTGGATTAATAAATCTGAAAAGACATATTGATCTGATAAATATATTGATGTGCATAAGAAATGTTAGTTGTATTTGAAAATTATGGATAACCGGTTTTTAACCCCAAGAGGGCTTATGCAAGATACTAGAAGTCTGTCAAGGGAATTATTTCAAGATTAGAGAGTGTTCAAGAAAGCAATTAATCATAGGATCTCTAAATTATATTATTTTCGTTAAGAGATAATATCGAAATTATCTGGTTAATAAATTAAGGAAATGCCCTTAAGAGGTAGAATAGTCAGAGTTAACCGTGAATGAGAAAATTATTAGAGGATTCGTACTTAACTCGATTAAGTACGGATTTGATTGTTAAAATCCTGACTTAGTGCAGGAAAATTCCTGATATTCTGTTTGTAAAATTTGAGAATGCACTTGACCCGGAAATATTCGAGTAATGAGTAAATACCTGAAGAATAATTTATCGGGGGTATTCTGCTATCAGAATTGTTCGAAATGACTGAAATAAATGATAAGATTGAATTTAATAGTAAGATCGGACGGAAGAAAATGATTAAAATATACTGAATCTGTAAAATAACCAAAATACCCCTGTAATAGAAATGACCCAAGAATACCACCAAGCTCAGGAATGATTAGATATCCTCGAGCTCTGAAATGAATGGAATAAAACTGAACACCAAAATTACCAAAATACCATTGTGACCTAGACTAAGTAGATGTTGAATTAATTAAGGAATCCAAATAAACATGGGTGTGGTACTGATCTTAAAAGTTATGGATCACCTATTAAGCCGAGCAACCAATGCTATTGTTATATCAGTACCTGAACGACATAGATGTCACTTGAACGCATGCTTGTATTTTCAAGTTTGGCTCGATGATAGTTTTGGAAGTATTCAGCTCAGCTCAACTCTAGAACGCATTCAATAGTAAGGAGTTGATATTTGTTAGACAAATTGACCACGAAGACCAAATTGATTTGAACGAAAGTACAGTATGTGTCCAAAATTCAGAAACATCTAGATTACCCTGAAAACCCTCGAATATTACGAGAATGGACATGACTGCTAAATAAATTAGGTAAACTCAATGACTGAGGATTTAGTAAGTGATTTGGATAAGTCTGGAAACTCTGATGAGTTTACATAGTGTACAATTACGATGGTTTATGATTAAAATAATCAAGTACGTCAGCATTACATGATATTGTGGAAGCGTGGAAATGAAATAAAGAAATTGGAAGATTTATTTAGCGATGATTCCGAAAATGGTCTATGGATAAGAATTTGTGGTATTAAAGAGTAAATACCCTGGAAGAACAATGAATTGACCAATCGACAGGCATTAGTTCTGGGAACTATTCACCTAAGAGTTGTCCGATAATCCGATCAATCGACATAGAATATAAATGTCTTGAACCTTCATTTCTTCCTTTTCAGCTCAAGTCACATTCTGAATAACTGATGATTCTGTCAGTTATTGAACTCTTCCAATAGTGATTCTGAATTCCGTTATTCTATCGGTATACTGAAGATCCGTGTTCCTCTACTTGTTAAGATTATCCAATATCTTTGAATACTATCTGTAAATTCTGGTGTGTTCCCTACTCATATGAATATTTTACCTGATTTTTGATTTGATTTCTGATCTGATACTTGACATGGATTCTGATCTGATATCTGAAATGGATTCTGATCTGATACTTGACTTGGATTCTGATCTGATACTAGACTTGGATTTTGATATGATACTTGACGTGAATTATGATTTGATTTTTGATATATTCGTTTACGGACGGAACATGTTTTATTTGGGGGGTTAATGTTGGAGGAAGAATACCTGGAGGTTCCTTGGCTGTGTGCTCAGGGCCTTACTTACCGGTTCCTCGGCTGTGTGCTCAGGGCCTTACTTACCGGTTCCTCGGCTGTGTTCTCAGGGCCTTACTGGACGTGACGGAGTTGTATGGTTCTGGGAACCTACACATTTTTTATGTGACGGATGGG